TTACAGTTTACTCTTGTTAAGTTCATGATAACTTTGTTTTTAATTTTTTTTGAGACTCTACATGGCAAAACATACAACTTTCTACATGTATAACTCGGTGACATTAGCTACATTCTTCAAACTGTGGAAACCTTGTCACACGCCTTTTCTAAGTTGTTTCCCCACCAATAACAAAACTCAGTGCTCCCTAAGATTCCTATCTAATCTTTTGAGTTGCTGTTACCAATTTGATACCACATAGAAAGATCTTAAGAGAGCACATGCTGAAGGCAGGTGCGCTTCCCTGGGCAAGCTAAACTACTGTTAGTTTTTAGAAGGCTTCGGGAGCTATTTTAGCTTAAGGTTTATAGATTTATTTAGGATAATTGTTTCAAGGTTTATCTACTCCCATGAAGAGTCACAGTCTCAAAGTACTATAGGGAGAGCTCTGGAGGATAGCTGTGAGGCAGAACTTTTTGGAGGGCAATGGGTTTGGTTTGGGTTTTATCCTTGATTCTCCTTTTTCCTCTATTGTTCCAAGTGGATAAAGATTGTAAGACCATAGCCACTACTCAATAACCTGAAAAACAAAACAAAATACTAAACACCTCATTAGGCTACTTCACACGGGGACATCCCATAAAATCACTATCCTAAATCACCAAATCAAAGAATCAGTCCCATGAGGCTTTTGGCTGCACATAAGCATCGTCAACAGCATTTCTGATTTGCTTTCCCTGATGTCCCTGTTGAGAATGCTTCTAGCACACAACTTTTGCCAATTCAGCTTTTTAGAGGTAGACAATTATTGATAGCCATTGAAATAACCAGCTGTGCAATCCAACCCTTAATCAATCTGATATTTCCCTCACTGTTAGCCCCAAAAGTCCCCCTTCCTACTGCCCCTGGATTCACTACGAAGCTCTGGTCTTTCCCAGGTATCTTCTTGTCTTTTTATATCACTTATAGGATTATGGTACCACAAAAATCGGTATTGCAGTGAATGCTGGCATGTGAGTCTGGTTTCAGTCTCTACTTTCAAGTCTTTTGAGTACAAATCCAGGACCGGACTTGCTGGGAGTTCTATTTTTAGTTTTTAGAGCAACATGACTTTTTGTCTAAGAATTTTATATTTTCAAGGTACATATTTAGATCCTTAATCCATTTTGAATTTTGTTTTGTATGTGGTGTGTGGTACCTATCCCGATCCATTTTCATGAGGAGACCAGTTTTCCCAGCACTGTTTATTGAAAAGACACTTCTTACTTCCATCACATAGACTTTGTATCCTTGTGGAAAAAAAAAAAGGCAGTGGACCATAGATTTCTGGGTTTATTTCTGAACTCAATTCTAACCCATTGTTCTGGATGTTTTTTGTTCTATCAGTATCAGGTTGTTCGATTAGTGCAGCTACAGAGCATGTTTTACAATCAGAAGTGTGACTCCTCCTGATTTGTTCTTGTCTTTCAATACTGCTTAAGTTACTTGGGGCCTCTTGCCACTCCATATATAGTAGAGGATTAGTTTTTGTACACAATTATTTCAAAGTAGTAATATAAAACACAAAATGATATATATCCATGGAACGTTCCTAGCCACCCATAATCATAAAATTTGGTTCAATAAAAGTTCATTAGTCCAAGGAAGTTAAATGAGCTGGTGTGGTTCTTCAATTTACAGACTTTGTAACTCCTTTACAAAGACTAGGGGGAGTATGAATATAGGCGCAGAGGCCTCCAACAAGGTGACTGGTCAGTTCTGCTACCCCTGGGCACAAAGCAAGCCAACTCAGAAGGAGGAACAGAGACACCCACAATTTTAAAGAAAAAAGGGCTACCAACCGGTGGTCCTTCCAGTTCTCCTAAGCAATATACCCCCCAAAACAATGATTCCGAATATTTCTATTTTCTACCTACCCTCTCTAGCAGATATATGGTATACCTAAAGAGCTTATCGCAATTTAACATTAGTTCTTGTGGCACGTTGGTTCTACAGACTAACAACAGGTCATTCAAAAATACTATAGCCTCAGACATTGCACAACTATTGTGCAAGCCAATTCTAGAAATGGCAGATTAAAGTCAAATGCTTATCTAAACAATTGTCAGAAGACAACAATAAATGCTCTCTAATCTGAGATTCTATCAGGTTTTTTTAATCATTTTATTGGGGACTCATACAACTCTGATCACAATCCATACATACGTACATTGTATATCAACCACATTTGTACATTTGTTGCCCTCATCATTCTCAAAACATTTGCTTTCTACTTAAGCCCTTGCTATCAGCTCCTCATTTTCCCCTTCCTTTCCACTCTTCCCTCCCTCATGAGATTCCATCTTACAAAAAAGAAATAAAATAAAATGAGAGACAGTAGCCTTTTGCTTTATACTAACAACTTAGAGTATAAAAACTGTTTTTTTCTGTATTATAAAGAAATAAAGAATGATAAACATATATAATTACATTTGTAAATCAAATTTACATCTCTAGATATAGACCTACAAGAAACTATTTGATATTAAAAGGACCTTAGACTTTCTTTTTCTTCACTTGGATAAAAATATATTTTCAATACTAAGAATAATTCAAAATAAGGAGTTCATCAATCTTTCTAACTAAATGAGACCAGTCCGAGCTACACAAACTAGTAAACCTCTGTAAATCTCAGCTTTCTATAATGCCAGGGATAATATCAAAATTCTTTGGGCAGCCAGACATAAGTAAGTGGCAAATATGTTGTAATTATTCTGAAACTGTGGGTCATCATCAAGACTAAAGTTCCAACGGAGATGTTGTAATAATAAGGTAGAGATGAGTTTATTCTTAGAGGAAGGAAAAATGCTAAACTAAATTACCGTATATATACATGTATAAGCTGAGTTTTTCAGCACATTTTTTCCCAAATTTGTCTCTTTTTTAAAAAATTACTTTAATGGGGGCTCATACAATGCCCATCACAATCCATACATAAATCCATTGTGTCAAGCACATTTGTACATTTGTTGCCATCATCATTCTCAAAACATTTGCTTTCTACTTGAGCCCTTGGTATCAGCTCATTTTTGCCCTCCCTCCCCATTCCCCCTTCTCCCATGAACCCTTGATAAGTTATTATTATTTTGTCCTATCTTACACTGTCCAATGTCTCCCTTCACCCACTTTTCTGTTGTCCGTACTCCAGGGAGGAGGTTATATGCAGCAGATCCTTGTAATCAGTTCCCCCTTTGACCCCACCTTCGCTTCACCCTCCTGGTAATACCACTCTCACCACTGTCTTGAGGGGTTCATCTGTCCTGGATTTCCTGTTTCCAGTTCCTATTTGTACCAGTGTACATCCTCTGATCCAGCTGGATTTGTAGGTAGAATTGGGATCATGATAGCTTGGGGGAAGAAGCATTAAAGAACTAGAGGAAAGTTGTATGTTTCATCGTTGCTACACTGCACCCTGACTGGCTCGTCTCCTCCCTGCGACCATTCTGTAAGAGGATGTCCAGTTACCCACAAATGGCCTTTGGGTGCCCACTCTGCACTCCCCCTCATTCACAATGATGTAATTTTGTTCCTTGATGCCTGATACCTGATTCCTTCCATATCTCATGATCACAGAGGCTGGTTTGCTTCTTCCATGTTGGCTTTGTTGCACCTGAGCTAGATGGCCACTTGTTTACCTTCAAGTCTTTAAGACCCCAGACACTATATCTTTCCATAGCTGAGCACTATCACCTTTCTTCACCACACTTGATCATACCCCCATTTGTCCTCAGTGATTGTATTGGGAAGGCAAACACACAATATGATTTTTCCTTCTTTGGTGCCTGAAACCTGAATCCCTTCAACACCTCGTTATCACACAGGCTGGTGTGCTTCTTCCATGTGGGCTTGGTTGCCTCTCAGCTAGATGGCTGCTTGTTTACCTTCAAGCCTTTAAGACCCCAGACACTGTATCTTTTGATAACTGGACACCATCAGCTTTGTTCACCACATTTGCTTATGCACCCACTTTGTCTTCAGCGATCGTACCAGGAAGGTGAGCATTATGGAACGCCAGTTTAATAGAACAAAGTGTTCTTGTATTGAGGGAGTACATGAGTGGAGGTCCAATGCCCATCTGCTACCTTAATACTAAACCTATAAATATATGTATAGATTTATATCATCATCATAAATATTTTTACATATGTACATGCCTGTCTTTAGACCTCTATAAATGCCCTTTACCTCCTAGTTCTTTCCTCTATTTCTTTGTACTTTCCTCTTGTCCCACTATCATGTTCAGCCTTCATTTGGGTTTCAGGAATTCCTCTCAGTGACATTGTCCTTGATCAAGCCCTGCCAGACCTCTTACACCCTCCTTGCCACTGATTTTGGATCACTTGTTGTTGCCTTGTCCCTGGCTTTGTTAATACCACTTCCTTCCCTTCACCTTCCCCTCTCCCATGTCCCCCTGGAACCGTTGGTCCCATTGTTTCCTCTTCCAGATTGTTTATCCAGGTATGCTCCCTTCTTGATTCGCTCCGTTTTGGGGGGTTCAGACCGTGCTGCTTCCCCACCATGTGACACCAGAAATGTCATTGGTCCTGTGTCGCTCTGTGTCCCATTAGCTCCCAGCAGGGACGTCATCCCTGAGCATCGTGGCGCAGCGTGGGGCCCAGTCCGACCCTCTTTCTCTCCCTCCCTAGAGGGGGAGGTGGGTGGAAGAAAGAGGTGTTAACAAACCCAGGGACAAGGGAACAAGTGATCCAAAATCAGTGGCAAGGAGGGTGTAGGAGGTCTGGGTGTGGCATTCAGCACATTTTTAATGCAGTTTTTGTGGTAAAATTAGGAGCCTCAGCTGATATTCAGGTCGGCTTATACTCGAGTATATACAGTACTCAAAATAAATATGAAATAACTTTATATAATAATTTTATATAAAAAATAAAAATAATTTTATTTTTCTAATTTAAGGTGTTCAGCATAGAACAACACATCGTTGTTTATAAAGAAGATGAAGTTCAACTGACACACTCACTTACCAAGCTTCAGGCAGTAAAACAGAATACTCATGTGGGGAAGTGGTCTCTGGAAAGTTGGAAAGAATTGCTAGGCGATGAGGCAGCAAGTCTGCACCATGGTAAGTGAAGAGAATTTCTAGGGCTTGTACATTACTTTCCTGTGGAAAAAAACAAAGGCAAATTTCAAATGTCAACTTTAAAGAATAAAAGACTCTATTTGTATGACAATATTCAAAAGTATTTTTTCACGTAATTATAGGTAAGAAGTGACTAAAATTTTCCTGATTTTTTCTAGTCTATATCAGTGTCTCAGTCTAATTCTGTAAAAATTATTTTTAAAACTCAGAATTATGAGCAATTAAAAATATCGTTTTGTCTATATCAATACTACAAACTAAAAGAAGACATGTAATGGTATATGCAAATAATATTAACTGCATGGCTCAAGGATTTACAATGTCAAGAATCAAAATGATTTTACTTTTTAAAAAGAAATTACCCGAGCATAAGTCCTTGCTGAGAGTACAATATTTTGATTTCGGAACTTCTTAAAAAATTCAGCATCATATCTCTGTTCAGATGCATGAGGCATTCCTAAGATTTCCTGGGGGGAAACAGTGATTTAATGAAAAGACTTCCAAACTTGGGCAACAAGACAATATTAAAATGTTTTACTATGCCTGGCTAAATAAATAGGCTTGAGATAATTTATTTCCACTATAAACTCTTAACTAGAACTACATCTGCACCCTTGTCTTTTCTATAAAACAACCATACTCATAAATGTATTTCTTTTTAATCCAAAAGTAAATAAAATAGTAAAAATCAAAATTATAGTACGACAACCAAAATCAACTGCTTGGTATAAACAAATAAGTAAAGATGAATCATGCATGCATAAGAAGTTTGATACAAGATGGATAACCCTTCATAAACAGTAACAGGAGCAATAGGTCACTGAGGGTACAGGAAGAGAGGTGGGGAACAGGGAGCTGACAGCATTGATGACTATATAATTCCACTAGATAGGATCGAAAACAGAATTGTATGTTAATGCATATATTGGATGTGTAAGATATGGCAAAAAATAAACAGATGGCTGGATTGGTGAATAAATAAACAAAGAAACAAATAAGGGTTCCTGGGGGGATTGGTAGGGGAGAGATGGAACAGATATCAAGGAGTTCAAGAAGAAAGAAAATGTTTTGAAACTCATTGTGGTAGCAATTGTACAACACTGCTTAATGTGACTGAACTATGAAATGTTATAATGTCTATAAGAGCTCCCAATAAAATGATTTTTTAAAATAATAATTTTGGATTTATTTTACTATTGCCAGAGTCATCTGTATGAAGTGCAGATTAACCAACCATTCATAAACTCACCAAATGTTTACTGAGTGTGCACTGTATGCGAGAGGTACAGTGACAGGCACCCTAATACAATACCCTCTCCCTGCCCTCAAAGCAGCTTCAACCTAGTAAGAAAAACAAATAAGAAAACGGAAGCAGGTATGAGGAGCCACCTAGTAGAGATGTCAAAACTGGCTCTACAAAGGCAGAGAAAACTTAGATGTGGCACCCAAGCAGAAACAAGAAAGGAAAATAGGAATTAACCATGGAAACGGCAAGTATAGGTCACTCTCACTGGAAAGTATGACTTAAAGGCCAAGTCTGTAATGTTTCATGCTGAATCCCAGAAACCTACCATATTGCCTTTCACATGATAAATGAGCAATAAGGTTTTCTACTTGAATTCTCTACTGAGAAAAGAAAGAAGAATGAGGAACTTTGCAGAAGATTAGTGAAGGGGGCTAGTGATTTAAGTTCAGCAGAAAATATTTGTAACTTAGAACAATAGCACATGGAAAGAGTCCCTGGAGCACATGTTTAGCATTCAACCACTAGCTGACAAGGTGACAACTGAGCCCAACCCTGAGTGACGTCAAGAAAGAAGCCTGGCAATCCACTTCCAAATGCAGCGAGCCGCCTCGGCCGCACCCAGAGCGCCCAGAAGAAGGAATCTACTTGACAACAGCGACAAGTAGGAGACACCCAGGGGACAGTGGGATATACAAGCTCAGGGTGCTAGAGGAAATTATTATCTAGATATGATTTCATTATTAATAAGCATGACTATGATTCCTAGAAGGAGTCTTGGTGGTATAGTGGGAAACACTGGGCTACTATGTAGTCCAAGGTCAGCAGTTCAAACTCATTTAGCTGCTCATCTAAGAAAGATGAGTCAGAAACCCAAAGGGGCTTTGGTGCTATAGGGATGCTATGTGTAAGAACTTACTTAATGGTACTGAGTCTGGTGGTTTTGTTTGCTTGATGACTCCTAGAGAGATTAAGTAGCGTGAACTGAAAAGGGCTTTAAAATCAACATCAATGGTGTATGTATGGATTGTGATAAGTGTTGTATGAACCCCCAATAAAATGATTATAAATAAATAAATAATTTTTTAAGAACTCAACATCATTGAAAGGATGAGCAAAGAGAAGGAAATACATCTGAAAAGTAGATGAAAAAGGAGCCAACGAAGCGGTGTTGATGGCAGAGTGGGAAGGGAGGTGTGATTCAGTGCAAACTCACTGAGATAAAATAAGGAAAGCTGTCCTAGGTTAACTAAACTGTCCAAAGTTCTTTATCTCCTTGTCTCCAACAATCATTTCTTTTATGAATTTCAGTTCTATATCCCATGGCCATTCTCTGGGACGACTCAATGTTGACTATCCAACTGGGTGGCCACCTACTCCCATTTTTCCAATTAGCCTACCAGAATGAGATTTGAGCCATTCTTCAACTTCACTGAGGCATATAATCTACTTTTTTGGGGGGGGAGGGGGGGCGCAGATGGGGGGCCTTTCATCTCTCCTCTAAAGTCTGTCATCCTTTTTAAACAGTGTAACATTCCTGGTCCATCATTATAACAGGATTTATTTATTTACTGCTCCCCAAATAAAAAAAACCTCAAAACTTCATCCACACTCTGGATCCCAATTCTATTCAATTCTATAGTCATGCAACGTTCTCTTCAATAAATCATTTGAGATTCAGAAGTACTACCCACCTCCATTAATCTGGCAGTGAGCATCACATAACTGGACGTGCCGTTTACTACATGCTTCCTGTAAGGCTGAGAAACGACGGCCACAGAAGGAGCACAGACTAAGGACGTGGCCTCCAAGTGACGTCAAATTCCAATAGTTAGAAATGTATTTTAAGCCCCAGGCAACTTCGGTTAACCAGGATGTTAAAAAGCAGTGTCAACTATGTCCATATTTTGAGATGCTCCTCACTGCCACTTCCACCCTTAACAGAATCTGATTTGGTCTTGGAGCACAGGGCTGCTATTGAAATGCTCCCCAGAAACACCTATGTTTGTGTTCTGAAAGATCCAAATACAGGGTAACTTCATAAAGTATTAAATGGCTTAATTTTGTCCTTAATTAGCATCAAAGTCAACTAATCAAATTCAACCCATGAATAAATCAAAATAAAACTACTCTGATATATCCATATTAAAACTCGGCCTATAGGGAAATTTGGTATTCAAACTCAAATTATTACCATCAAGTCAAAACTGACTCATAATGACCCTATAGTTTGTTTACTAGAGGTAGATAGATATATGTTATTAGCTTGAAATTCAAATGTCGACAGTAAGTGAAAAGGACTATAAATCCAGGAAACACAGATGCCCTGAAGTAGCTAAGGCATTTCTACCCCTAGTCTAATAAAGCAATTTCTGGCCTTTAATTCTGAGTGGGTTTGTTTGGGGTGTTTTGCTTGGGGTGATAGGGGGGCGGGAAGGCACTAGAATTCTCACCAAAAATGGTATCCAAGAGAGCGGAAGCTGTTAAACTGTTTCATCAAGGATTGATTTTCTTTTCCCTCACATTTCTTTCCAATACAAGATTATCAGATATTAGATCAGCCATAGCATTCATAAAGACAGTTGAAATGAACTGAATTGGTTTGATTAAAATTATTCCTACCTCATATGTTGCAAGTCGATCTAGGTAGGTTAATAATTTCAATCTACAGCGGCAAAGTTCCTTTTGTTCCAGTGTTAGCCTGTTTTGAATTAATTATATTAGGTCATTTGTATTTACATAAAAAGCATGTTTCACTAGGAGTTAAAGCAGAATAAAAATCATTAGCATTCCACTGAGCGCCTGATTCGTGGAATAGTACCCAAAAGCACAAGAATAAAATAAAACTAAATGTACTTAAGTTGATGAAATAATTAAAGCAATTATTACCAATAAAGAACACACTGAAATGACTAGTAATTACAGAGAAATTACTTTACCAAATGAACAATCATAAACCATTTACTTTGAAAAGTTCACTAATTTAAGGAGTTCTCGTCTCTTCAGGAGCGCCTTTTCCTTTGTACTCATGGCGGGCTCTGGCTCCTCGGGGGAAAGTTCTTCATAGGGGAAGTTGTCAAGGTCAACTTCACCAGCTAATGTAAATCTGCAAAGCAGCAGCAAAACAGAAATCAAAACAGATTCATAGATTGCAATTTTTTTGAGTCCCATTTTAGACAGAAACTTTTTAAGTCAAGAAAAGAAAATCTATTTAGGAAAACCTAAAAACGTATGAAGTTACATTCATCTAATGTAAAGCAGATGATGAAGAAAATGTAACTAGAGTTTCCAATTTGAGTCAATGCTACTGAAGGTCTTAAAACGGCAATGCATGTTGATTTCATTTTGATCATTTATCAGATATACTATCAAATACACCATGAACTATATATTTCAAAAGAAGTTCCAAATGTCCAGCGAGCAGAGGCTCTGGTCAAATAACTATCATTATTATTAACTGACATTTCCATGGTGCTTAAAGTGCATGAGATGCTTTCCCAAGATATATAATTAAATCACAGACAGTAATTCTGTGGATTACAGATGAGAAACGTGAAGTTTAAACTAGTAAACAAACCCAAGTATCTGCCTTAAACTCACAGCTCTGAAATAGCCAGCATTTAATAAGTTTTATATAGCTTCGTCTTTACTTGGCATTATACTGTTATAAGCAAATATTGTCAACTTATAGGAAAGAATGCTGGGAGCTCAGCTAAGGAAGCACTGATCAAAAGCAACTGTTTCAGAATCTAAAAACATAAAGAAAAGTTTCCCTCTGCAGTAAGTGCCTTGTCTCACAAGTGTTCATGAAGTCCTAGTTGCTTGTCTTTCTGTGACCCACCTGCCGGCATCTGCCCCTTCCCCGATTGCTCGGAGAGCCTCCAGATCAGTGCCTTTCAAGCCATACTGAAGCAGTTCTTTCACAGCATCCACATTTTCAGGAACTCTTTCCAAACACTCATGAAGAACCCAGGATCGTTTTTTGATTTTACTCTAGATACAAAGACAACACAAACAGAAGCATTAGGCTGCAATGGTTTGTAAATTGTGGGGAGAGACTCCTTATGGGGTCACGTCACTGAATGTGCGGGCTGGGAAAAATCTGGCAACAGTACAAGGTCCCTGAACATGCAATGACCAAACATTACTTCATAAGCGCATAATGAATCGGATGCATTTCTGGTAATGCTTACCCATGTTGCAAATTTCTTTGGTGAAAAAGGCGTTTGAGAAGCCCTGCAAGAGCCCCTAACAATACCTATAAAGTGAGGGGGGAAGTCTGGTCACAGGGAGCTGCTGAAGCTCACCCAGAAAAGCAAATTCCTCAGTTCTAATTAGAATGGGGGTATGGACTACTGTGACTCCAACTATTCTCTTTCTTTTCTTTGGCATCACACTGAAACAAAGCTCAGTGCTCTCCTTTGGAAATAAAAAAAGATATTTCCAAGCTCTTATCATGGTTTTAGGCTTGCATTTTGAGTATGTAATAGAGCAGAATATAAAGAAGGGAAATACGATATGTCTATTGTAATAAGCATTTTCTACTTAGTGTTTTACTCTGTATCAAAACTACTAAGATATAGACATCAAGAGTATTTACTTGAGAATGAAACCAATTATACAGTACAGATTATAATCTCATCACACACACACACACACACACACACACACATACACACACACACACACACACAAAGCCACGGCATGTTGCTCTGTGGGGCGCTCGGGGTTCTAATCCTCCAGCAGACTGCTTCCTTGGGCTACATTCAAAATCCCTGATGCGGCCTCTTCTTAGCAAGAATCTGTATAGTTACAAATGTAAAGTACAATTTGGCTCATATCCTATATTCCTTTAGACATCCCACTACATCAATTCTTTCTTTAATTGTCTCCTACACTCATTTCTCTATGGCCTCTTACGAGTCCAAGTCATCACTGCCCAGCCCTGTGCCCCAGCAAGGTTTCTCCACTACCATTCTCCTTCCTCTCCAACTCATCTTCCGCACCACCTTCCTCTGCAGCTCTGTAGTCAAAAATACACAAGAGCTTACCATTATCCAAACGATTTTCTTCTTAAGTCTGAAAAGTCCTATGGCTTCAACATTTTGTCAGTATCTCTTATTTCCCAATAACTATTGTCAAATGTCAGCTCCCACAAATTGGCTTACTTACAGATGTCATTTATTCATAAGTATGTGCTGATGTGCTGGACGCTGAGCTCTCCAGAACACAGCAGTGAATAAAACAGATTTAGTCAACAGCTTCACAAACAATGCTCTTCCTGGTCGTCTATCATTTCTCCTACATCTACATCTTCCACCTAACTCTAGAAGACCATTTTACATATCTTCAAATCCCTACTCAAAACATCTTCATTATGTAAAGTATTCTTAAACCACTGCATGGTATCTTCTGAGTAAGATTAGACACGTCCGAAAAGCAAAGGCCATATTTATGCCTCTCCGATAGCCCCTCATTGTTTCTAGCATGTTGTTTTGGTTTTTAATCTTTAACTCTCTACTTATTTAACTGAATTAAATATTTCTCCCAATAAAATTGTGCTTAAATTTTTTTTAAATGTGCTTGCTTTCCCTCTCCTAAAACCTATTCTCTGTTGTGTGTGCTTACAAAATTCTAGTACCTGGGTACACATAAGTCTCAGTTTGCTAAGTTAGAAAAGAAAGGTAAGGATTGTTGTTCTGATTTTCTAAGGAAATTCAAGCAACTTTCTCTCTTTTTTCACTCTCATTTCAGAACAAGAAGTTAAACATGTAAGGACTGAGGGGTCAGGTTCTTTCTTTGAGCCGTTTACCAGAAACATCAGTGACAGATGGTAAACGTGTCTACTTTGATGGCAATTCCTGATATCTTACCTATAAACACAATTTACCTTTCTATTTGGTTGAAGTACCAACTTTTTCCATACAAATTTTACAGAGTATGTTTTTTTGTTATTTGTAAATTAATTACTCCTGGTAAAAATCACTAGCTAGGGGATTTCTAACATTTTCTTAGACTTTCTCTAAATGCAAAAGTTACTTTCTTTTTAAGTGTCAGACCAGAAAGGTGCATGTTTTTTCAAAGCCTTCTATGAGTACAACTGTTTCTTCATGAAGGTGCCAAGGACCAACGCAAACAGATTACACACAACTTTAGTGAGAAGGACGGGAGAGGCGTGGTTGCAGGATTTGAGCAGATTTGGGACATTTGAGAAAGCTGATATACCAGTGATATATTTGTTATCTCTCAATTCTATAGGCACTCATCAGGTGTCTAAACCTGCTTTGCAGTAACATTTCTCCCTGGGAGCTAACACAAAATTAAAGTTGTCAATAGGGAATGCTGGGAAGTCACTGAACAAGAAAAGGTCTCCATTTCTGGTCCTGGTGCGCTTTGATTCTTCTCTCTTGCCCATCAGACAGCAATGTACATGGGAGACCACCCAGGGATGTGTACTTCAATCCCCACTTCCAATCTCTGCGGAAAAGGTCCCATTAAATTTCATTGGCGCTCCTGTGGGCAAATGCCCAGTGAACAACACGGGCAGGTAAGTGGGAAATTTTGCCCCCAAAAGCAGCCTGTCTGCACTGGTACTTGATTCCGCTCCCCACGCCACCCCCCACCCCTACCCATGGTTCTTTATCTGCTAATCTTGAGCTACAAGCATTCCTATGTGGAGTTCCCTGCTTGTCGATCCCTGGAGTTTATCTGACCCTCAATTTCAGCTCACAAGTACCCTAGCAGTGGGCTTACAGTTTGCCCATCGAGCCATTTCACTGCCTGTGAAGCTTTACTAGTTGCAAACGCACTCGGGCCTAGGGCCTGAAGCAGCCCCAGGAACTCCTCCATCCAGTGTGCTACAGTCCTAGCTGCCCCAGTGAGGCTTGATCCCAGCCTTGGGGAGGAGACCCTGCATTCTACTTTGTCTTTACGAGTTGCCATCCCTCCAGGGCAGTGAGTTTTTTCATTTGGGCTACGCGCCCTGCAGCCCTAACATATTCTTTAGAGTGCTCTGTATCCCATTATAGTCAATCCCTTGTAACTAAGATAATAATTCTCTTCATTACAATTTTACCTATGGAAATGACAGTGATGTCTGGCATGCAACTAGAATCTGCTGTTGGTAAAAGAGGTAAGTGAGGGAGCCTAGGCTGAGCCAGCAGGAGCCCAATTATCATTGAATGTTTACTGATGTCTTCGGCATCAAAGTTCAGGTACAAAGGCAACAGAACCTAATCAGACATTTTTCCCAGGGGAGTAAACCACATTTCTTCAGCTGCAGAAATGCTAGAAATGGAAAATGAAGATCTATAACAAGAAGATATACCATGAATTTGAATGTTAACACGTTAACAACATATCTAAACATACCAAATAATTCTGAATTGAAGCGATGTTGACTGCTGATTTCCTCCACTGCCTCTGATATACCAGATCAGTATCCAGGCCGTACGTATGCGCCAGAGACAATGCTTCCTCGTATTCTTCACTTTCAATCTTTAGGCAATGAGATGGAAACAGAAATGTCATCTTACAGAATTCTTCAGAGGGTCACTACATGATGCATGAACAGTGATGAACCTCTGAGGCCTGCTGTACAGTCCCATGGACAACATGGAACGAGAAGTGAAACATTTCGAAGAGCTGAGGAAGCAGATTATTTCTTCTAGCAGTTTACCAGAAACATTGGCTAAGGGCTTTCAACCTGTCTAGTATAAAGGTCTCTCACGATACTTCAGTATCAAAAAGCTAGTTAGGTTAAAATGTGATATCATTTGATCTCCCTTTTGCCCAATTTTACGTTTGTTCTAGCTTTTAATATTTTCTGCTTTCATTTTTTAAAAATCATTTTGTTGGGGCTCGTACAACTCTTATCACGGTCCATACATCCATCCATTGTGTCCTCTGCTTTCTTTTTTATTGAGGCTTTTATCTGTTTTACTTTGTTATTCTTGAAATGTTTTGGGTTTTTTTAATGTTTTATTTTTCTTCTGTATATGAAATCCAGAAGTCAATTTATAGAGGGAATAACTGGATTAATGCTTCCATGGGGATAGGACAAGGGAGGCTGGGGGGAAATGGAGTTAAAAATTATGAGGATAACGATGAAGAAAATGTCCTAAAATTGACTGTGGTGATGATTGTACAACTCTTCTTGATGTGATTGAGCTACTGAATTACAGGATAAGTGAATTATATGCTAAAAAAAACCCGTTACAAATAAAGTAAATAAATCCAAAAAAAAAAAGCTAGAATACACAGTGGTGGCCAATGTTCGTCAAGCATTAGAAAACAGGTGACCACATGTCAATCCTTCTCCTCTGTCATCTGAGTAGACAGATTTAGAGTTCAAGGCCATGTGAAAAGGCGCCCCGGCAGCACAATCAAGTGAGCACCAGACTGCTGTCCAGCACCACCTTGGAAACCTACAGAGTCACAGTCACTAAGCTTTGGGGTCAACTCAATGGCAGTTCGGTGTTTTCTTTTTTTGGTCTTGGGTTTACGTTTTTGTTCTTTTGCTTTTGCTTTTACGCCTAAAGTAGATCATCAGTCTTTAACCAATTCTTAAAGTGAATTTATTTTTGTCCACTGTTTTAACTTCTATTACTTAGCTACAAAGTCCAACATTCTCTTCAATTTTTAAAAAATAATTGATATTTCCAATACATTGATGATTTCACAGCCCTTCATTAAACATCTTTCCTGGTTTCCCAATTTAAAGATTGATGCCATCAAACTTTGATCGTAATGTGACACTCTCACCTTTCTCTGATAAAGTTCCTCTGGAGTTGTGGATCGCAAACTTATAAGGCGATAGTTTTTAGTAATTGTTCGTGGGCGTTTCCGGGGTGGTGCAAACCGCTCCATTTCAGTCACTAAGTAAAGGCCCTGTTTTACATAACCAAAGTACCGAGTCTTCGCAGAAATCTCACGATCAGAGTCAGAATCCTCCTCCCCGTCATCTTCTTCCCCACATCTAGTCTCTAGCCGAGATCTTTTGGGAGCAAGTTTAATTTCACACTAAAAAGTTGACAACGGAGATGTTAAATTAGTAGTGAGGAGCTAAAGAGAAACTTTCAGAAGCAAAAACAAATATATATACCTATATATTTTTTGATTCTGTGGTTTAATAAATCAGTTACATCAGCAATGTGATTAAGACTACCATGTAATTCCAAGGGCCCACATAACAAACATATACATCAACAATTTCAAAATTATGCATATATGTTATAAACTCCACATCTCTAAAACAAAAGCTTTTTTAAAAAATCATTAATATGGCCCTGAAAATGTGTGCCTTATAATAATTTTAAAGAAATAAAGGGGCTGAGGCGATTGAATTCTTAAACTTTGATGTTTCTCTACTTGCTATGAAAAGATGATTATTTAGAATGACTCTCTCTTCCTTTTAAATATGTCTAACAGCTTCAAAAAAAGTTTTGAATCGGAATTGGCTTATATTTTAAGCCATAGTTCTTTTTCAAGAACATTTTGAGAATCATTAACAAACTTTGAGATAAAACAGTGGTGAATCTGCACAGACGTGAAAGTAATACTACAGAATGACTTAGAATAAGACTAAAAATAGGTGCACAGTACTGGCTTCTGGCTTCAAGCCTTTTGCCATGATAAGTAGGTTCTTATTCCTCTCGACAACGCAAATTTCCTGGAAACACATTATAGACTATATTTCTTAAGTAATAATACCAATATCTTAAGATGACAGAGGAAAAAGATCTATAATTTGAATGAAAATGTTTTATAGAAAGCAAAGTAATTAGACATTTACTTCATTTTTTACCATGCATTTTTACATTTTTTTCTAAGCAATGTTTTTTTCCCTGTGATTCTGTATCCAGTATGTCATTCCATTCATAAATTTCAATCTATAAACACAACAGTAGATCTAAGAGTGACTACAGAAAAGAAAGATGTTTCTGTTTGGGGGAAAATACGAGTCTGCTCTCAGACTCACTGATTGCTTTAAAAGGAAAACCTTACCTCCAAACTTAAAAACCCCCCATCATGGGCAGCAGTGACTTGAGGTGATGGCTCAAACCACTCACAAGACTTCCCCAACAAATTCTTCAACGTTGTCACGGAGGAAACAGTCAAAGCTCCAGAACAGCGAGCCAGAGTAACTGCACTCTCTGCCCACCAACTGACATCAATCAGCGGGTAAAAGGACTCTTTATCTAATGAGGGAAGAAAACGGATACAGGTGCTTCTGGATTGTGGTTAGATACAGCACATTTAGTCTAAAAATCAATTTCAACACGATATTCACATACGTTATTTGGGCCATAAAGATGTATGAGTTCCTGGATGAGGCAAACACTTGAGCACTTGAATACTTGTCAAAAGATGGGTGGTTTGAGCCCACCCAGAAGCACCTCTGAAGACAAGGCTGGAAACCTGCTTCCAAAGTTCACAACCATGAGAACTCAATGGAGCAGTTCAACTCAGAACACCAGCGGTGGCCATGAGTCAAAAGGGGCTCTATGGCAATTAACAACATTCATCACTCACATTTTTACTCAGTTATAAGGTCCAAAATGGCAATTCATTTAATGAATATCTACGTACCAGTAGGTTGTCCTGCATAGTCTAAGGGCCTAGGGATACCTCAAAAACCCTCTGCTGCTGAGTCCATTCTGACTCTCAACAACCCTTTAGGACAGGTGGAACTGTCCCCATGGGTCTCTGAGACAGTAACTCTTCACAAGAATAAAGAGCCTCTTCTTTCTCCTACAGAGCAGCTGTTGGGTTTGAACTGCTGACCTTGATACAGAGGTTCTCTTAAGAAGCTATATATTCAGGAGAGCGAGATATCACTACTTTCAACAAAGGAAGGTGAAATGGGCTGTGTATAAAATGTATGTATTATAAAGGTTCCAGATGCTTCTGAAAAATGTTCATCTATCACTTTTCAGCAAAACAACATGGAAAAGTATACCCTTAGAAAATATAAGAGAGAGAGAGAGAAGAATTTCCAGTACTGATTTCGTCGGAAACTTGCAACTCAATAGGAAAAAACTCAATAGGTCAGAATGAAGTTTTAAGGATAAAAATGAAATGTTTCACCACACTAAGGCATTCAAAAAGAAATGGCATGACATTTGTTCTAATTTTATTACTTCCTGTATACTTTATTTGTTCCACAAGAATCTTATATTCTTTAGAGGAAGCACATACAACACTAAGCCATGTATTTAAATATATATGTACGCCTTAGACTAAAAAGAAATCGAAAACAAGAGTCCCACCTAAATCGTTTCCCCCTCCACTCCCTTAAAAGCATTGCATATACTCTTCGAGCACTGTGCGGCAACTATTTCCCCCAAGTGCACTGGAAAAGGACTACACTCGGCAGCTGGAATTCGATGTATCAGTTTAAGCTGGTTTCGGACAGGGAGACCTGCTATTTGCACTGGGCTGAGCAAAAGTCCATCATACTGACATCTGACCAGAGTACCCATAGATATTTTATATTCTGTTACCTAGCAACCTCCTTAATTGTCTTACAAGGTTTTAATTGTATCTCAAGTAATTACCATTTTAAAACCCACCTTTTATTTTTTTTCTCTTCTCAGTAGAAAGTCTCCAGTCAGGATTAAGGTCATCGAAGCCTGGCTGAAAATGAGAAATGTATACATAACTGAGACAATCCCAGGAGAAAACTGGGAGAAAATTCATCAAGACCGACAACTTTTTAATAAACGTAAAACCTAGAGATGATGTTTTTCTTTGATCTATCAATTATATCTAATTGTAATTCACCTTTCTCCCTAACAGTCTTAAAAGGCTGATTGTTCTTGCACTGCCAATGTGCATATGCTGATACTGTGAAGCAGTTTAATGAACAGGCTAACATAAAAATAGCAAGACATAAAGTATAACCTTGGCACAAATGAAATCAAGATAGAGGAAAAATTCATTATAGACACACACATGGACATACATATACTCTGAGAATAAACACTATTTTGTTGTCAATAAATGCTAGTCTGAAAACAGGTCCTAGCCCCACACTAGGAAACTAAAAATCATCCCTCCAGCCCTTAGCTCCCACAGTGTTTAGAGATGACTAGGTAACCTCTAGGCAACTTCTCAGATCTAACTTCAATGACCATAATTGTAACTAAGTAAAAAATATAACCATGCAATTCTCAAATTGGAAACGTTCTAGTCAATCTCATGTCAACAGTATCACACCCAAGTTTAAAAATATGACACATCAAGGCCTCACAAACTGACATCAAGTCAGTCAGTCAAACTCTTAACTGAACAATAACTACTTAATCTCCAGATTTACCACAGAATAAAGAAAGACCAGACACAAATAACTTGGATATTAATTTGAAAGCTTAAATTTGATGAAAGGTATGATATAATAACTAAGTCAAACTAAAAGTGCTTTTTCACGTAATACATTAGAAACAAATATTTTATTATCATTCTATCAGTGTCTCACAATTTAGAGAATCAAAATAGACATTTATATCACTTAGATGTAAGAGAGAAGGAACATTTCTTTAAGCTCTATCAGGAAAAGAAAATTATCAAAGAAGGTCACTTATACACCATGGCTGGAAAGGAAATCTTCTATTTTATTTAATTATAAAAAGATAATACAATAACAAAAATAATCAATACAATTAAAATATTATTGGGCCATTTATAAGGCACTTTAGAATTTTTTCAATGCCTCCAAATTACCAATTTACATGTGCAAACAGCACTTTCTGCATACCACCATTTAATTATATGATTACACCTGTGTATCCAAAATTATATTCTGGAATATATAGGGGAATGGAATAAACCTGTAAGTCCCTCAGAGGCCCTTTTCTTGGGTTTCTTGGACAGTCTGGCTCCTGTCCACTGCATGGCAGGCTAAGGAAAAAGCTGGTCTCCAAAATCCCCAGGAGAGGTGCACTTGAATGTGCACATGGATGTCGGCAGGCATCCTTCCTCTTCTGGAAGAGGTCGAAATGGGTGGAAGGTTTCAGATGCTGTATATTCAAATTAAGGCTCCCTTCCTATATTCAATCTTTGGCACAAAAATGTGCATAGAAATATTCTGTTGCAGAACTTTTGGAGGATGCCATCCCGCAGAGTGATACATTATAGACGGAACTAGCAGATTGAGCCCTGCACCTTCACTCACTCATACCTATCTACCTACCTGTAAACCTACCTTGTACTATACGAAGATTTAACCCGAGGAGGGCGGGACTGTTAAAGTTGTAATGCATTAGGCAGAGAGTATTTACACAGGGGAGTACCAAAAAAAACCCGAGAATTGCGCTGGGCAGAGTGCAGCTTTCATAGTACACATTTTTCTGCTAGGTGAGCATCTAGCAACTTGCTCTGAGTTAGTGCACTCAGTGGCATTGCCTGGGAAGGTTCGATCTGGTCACAGTGAATGTTTTCACAAAAGCAGTTTCGTGCAAACAACGTTTTTGTGATGGCTGATTTAAGGGAACAGTGTGTGGCTGTGAAATTTTGTTTCCTGCACAGAAACAATGTCGCAAAAACTGGTGATGTTGAACACAACTTACAAGGTCAGTATTATGGGGAAAACGCAAGTGCATTTGGAGTTCATTCCTTTAGGTCAGACTGTTAATCAAGCTTTCTATTTAGAGGTTCTGAAAAGATAGCCTAACCTTGTGCAACAAAAAGGCCTGATTTGTGAAAGATGGACAGTCGGGGTTGCCACCACAATGCACCTGCTCATGTAGCCATCTCAGTGCACCAGTTTTTGGCAAAAGATAGCATGCCTCTCTTGCCCCACACACCTTAATCACGGACCTCGCTCCAAGTAACTTTCTTTTATTTCCAAGAATGCAGAAGGACATGAAAGAACATCAATTTGATGACTTAAAAAAGGTTGAGAAAAAAATGAGAGAAGTTCTGCCAGCCATTCAAACAGATGAGTTTTAAAATGTTTCCAAGAATGGAATCTCAGATTTGGCACATGTATTAAATGTAATAAAGAGTACTTTGAAGGGGATAAAGTTGTTTTCTAAAAAAAATTTAAATAGCTTCAGGAAAAAAAAAATCTGGGTTTTTGTGGGGGGGTAACCCCTCATATAAGACTCACTGGCAGTTAAAGAGGGTCAAGGTGTGCAGCTATGGTCTAGGAGAGAATACAAGCTAGCAATCCCAACAGTTGGGTTGTCAGTGCTTCAATAGATGACCTGCAGAAAGATGGGTAAACACCACAATCAGAGAGTCCTCTTGCTCTACAGTTTCTAAGCTGAACATTACTGGAGATTGTTAAAGGGCTCTTAGCATTCAAACCAGTAGACTCTAGAGGCAGGAGGGGGAGTGTTAGGGAATGTGGTTTGAAAGGAATTATATGGGGTTAAAAAAAAACAGTAAACAGAACTAATGAACTTAAAAGAGCTCATGGGCAAAGAAAAAAACTAGTCAATATAATAAATTATTGATAATGATGTGTGGCCTTGAATTTAGCAATGGTTTCTTAAATATGGCTAAAATAGCATATGCAACAAAAGAAAATAAATTAGACTTCATCAAAGCTAAAACCTTTGTGCATGAAAGGACATTCTCAAGAGGGTGAAAAAATAATGTGTAAAAACATTTGCAAATTATAATCCAGACTATCAGATGGCTTCAAAAAGTTCATGGAAAAATGACATTGAAAAATATTGAAAAACATCCCACACAACCCATTTAAAGTTGTTTTATAGACAAAAAGCTTAAGCGAAAAGGAGTTGCTCCCCAAAGGTCCACGAAAGAGCAAGTTATAACTAGCCATGTCCATCAACAGGTCCTTCGTAAGAGAAGGACATTAGAAGGCTATGGGAATAGACATGCATAGTGAGGAGCAGCTACGTTGCATACACCCACATGTACGCCCACTCAAAGGTTGGGCATGTGCAGTAAGGACCAGCCACATTATATGTCCCATGCTTACTCAAGCACATCCACTAAGAATCTACCAATACACACCATCAGGCCCTGCAGATGGATGTGTGTCCCTTTGGAGGAGCCTAGGAAGGAGGGGTGGTACAGACAGTAAAAGCACAGCGTTTGGCTTTATTTTTTTTAATCATTTTATTGGGGGCTCCTACAGCTCTTAACATTCCACACATCAATTGTATCAAGTATATTTGTACATATGTTGCCATCACCATTTTCTAAACATTTACTTTCTATTTGAGCCCTTGATAACAGCTCCTTTTTTCCCTCCTTCCCGCACCCCCCCCATTACCCATGAATAAATTATAAATTATTGTTTTTATATCTTACACCAACTGCTGTCTCCCCTCACCCACATTTTTGTTCTTCATCCCCCGGGAGGGGGGTGTGGTATCCATCAATCATTGCAATCAGTTCTCCCTTCCTTCCCCCACCTTCTCCCTACCCTCCTGGTATTGCTACTCCCCTATCTATTCCTGAGGGGTTTATCTGACCTGGATTCCGTATGTCATGAGCTCTTATCTGTACCATGTACATGCTCTGGTCTAGCCAGAACTGAAAGGCAGGCCTGGGGTCATGATAGTGGGGGGTGAGGAAGCCTCAAAGAACCAGAGGAATATTGTGTGTTTCATTGAACAGTGTTATACTGTGTTCTGATTGACACATCCCTTCCTTGTGACATTTCTGTGAGGGGATGCCCTATTGCCTACAGATGGGTTTGGGGTCTCTGATCCAAACTCCCTCAATCTCAACAATGTCTTTTTGTTTGTTTGTTTGTGTTAGGTTTTCTGGTGCTTGTTACCTGATCTGTCAACACCCCATGATCGCACAGGCTGGTGTGCTTCTTTCATGTGGACTTGTTGCTTCTCTACTAGATAGCTACTTGTTTAACTTCACCCCTTTAAGAGAGCAGATAATCTCTTTTAGAGCCGGGCACCATCTGCTTTCTTCACCACATTTACTTATACACCCATTTTGTTTCAGAGATCATGCTGGGAGGGTGAGCATCACAGAATACCAGGTTGTTAGAACAAAGTATTCTTACTTCGAGGGAGGGCTTGAACAGAGGCCCAAAGTCCATCCAATTCCTCAGTGTATTGCCATACAAATATATGCACACAGGCCATTACCTCTATTTTTATTAATATATTTACATATGTATATACCTATGTTTATACCTCTAGCCATAACTTTGCTTCCTAGATTTTTCCTGTTTCCTTTTACCTTCCTCTTGACCCACCATCATGTTCACACTTCTTCTGCCTCTTAGTAATTCCTCTCAGCTAGATTGCTATTGTTCCAACACCCCCAGGATCTCTATGTTCTCCTCATTGTTACTTTTAATTCCCTAGTTGTTCCCCTGTCTATGGTGTTTGCTCATCGTTCCCTTTCCCCCACTTCTTCTACCCTGCAGGTCCCTCCAGAACCGTCAGTCCCATTGCTTTCTCCTCGGGCCTGCTTCCATGACTATCTTATGTAGGTAGTCAAAAAAACAATAAGAGAGACAAAACAAAAGATTAAATAAAAAGAAAAAAAGGAAAAAAAAAACTAGCAAAAGAAAAGCATACATAATTCCAGGTTTGTCCACCGACCTTTATGATTATCTCCCCACCGGTCCTAAGGTTCTAGACTGCCCCTCCTTGGCTTCCCTTTTTGTGGATCCACTACCCCTCCTCTCCTGA